ATCGGGATCAGGGAGAGTTTCGGGATCAGGGAGAGCATCGGGATCAGGGGGTGTGTCAGGATCAGGGAGTGCGTAGAGATCAGGGAATGGAGCAGGATCAGGGAGAGCGTCAGGATCAGGGAGAGCGTCAGGATCAGGGAGAGCATCGGGATCAGGGAGAGCATCGGGATCAGGGAGAGAGTTGGGATCAGGGAGCGCATCGGGATCAGGGAGAGAGTTGGGATCAGGGTGAGCATCGGGATCAGGGAGAGCGTCAGGATCAGGGAGAGCGTCAGGATCAGGGAGAGCATCGGGATCAGGGGGTGCATCAGGATCAGGGAGTGCGTAGAGATCAGGGAATGGAGCAGGATCAGGGAGAGCATTGGGATCAGGGAAAGCGTCGGGATCAGGGAATGGATTGGGATTAGGGAGAGCATCGGGATCGGAGAGAGCATTGGGATCAGGAAGAGCATTGGAATCAGGGAGAGCATCGGGATCAGGGATGCCCCGGATGGATGGATTGGGAGCGGACACACAGGGAGGCAGGCACAGGGACACACGGACACACACGGACACATGGACACATGGACACACATGGACACCTGTACACGTGTGGACACATGGACATATGTGGACACACAGACACCTGTACACAGATGGACACATGGACACGTGGACACACATGTGGACACATGGACACACGGACACACACGGACACAAGGACACACATGGACACACGGACACATGGACACACATGGAGACAGGCACAGGGACACACGTGGACACAGGGAGACACAGACACATGGACACATGGATGCACACGCACGGACACACTGACACATGTGGACACACGGACACATGTGGACCCATGGACACAGACACACACGGACACACATGTGGACACACGGACACATGGACACACGTGGACACACGGACACGCGTGGACTCACCTTGAGGTTCTCCAGCATCTGGCTGGGGAAGAACAGGTCCAGCCCCACCTCCTTCCTGCGGGACACAGAATCCAGGGAATGTCAGTGGGGAGACGATGGGGGGACAGGGAGGGATGGGGGGAAGGGGCTCATTGCCCTCCCCCCGGGGTGGGGAGGATGAGGAGGATGAAGAAGATGGAGAGCTGTGGGAGGATGAGGAGGGTGAGGAGGATGAGGAGGATGAGGAGGGTGAAGAGGATGAGGAGGGTGAAGAGGATGAGGAGCTGTGGGAGGATGAGGAGGATGAGGAGGGTGAAGAGGATGAGGAG